AAAACCTGAACCCCCAGTCAAATCCCCACTCAACCACCATATTTACAGCCTCCTGAACCTTGCCTTCCTTTTTTCCATAACACACCATCATCAGCGAACAAAGACCTAATGCTGATCTTTTGTCTCTTGTCCTCTGTATTTATTTTTTACTTACCCCCTTGTCTTGTTATATGGATTCTATTCACCTGTGCATTGTTTCTCCAGCTGTATTCTCACTCCTTAATTAGCTCACGCGTCTTTTTAAGCCCTCAGTCTGCTTGTGTTTCTTTTTGTTCCCTGCCTGTTCCTTGTGGGGCCTTTGGTAGTTTTACTTATTGGCTCATATCAGTCAGAATAAATATTTCCCTTTTGTTCCTGTTTCTTTCAGTGACTGCTTTTTGGTCCAGAAAGCCCTATATATTTTAATATGGTTTTCTGAAACAGGTCTCTCTTGTAAATGAGACATTGAGCCCCAGTGGGACTACCTGTATAACCAAAGGTTAAATAAAAAAAAAAAACACATCATATAAATGATGGTAGTTTTATTCTTGGACTAGAATAACTTTACATGAGTCAGTGTTCCAAGTAATCCTTATTTATCTTCTACTGGGCCTTTGTGCAGCTCCCCAGTTCCTCTTCTTTCTGAAACGAGCTGTTTTAGCTCCTCCCACTTTAAGCCAACTTTCTTTTATAGTTAAGCTGTGCTGCCATGTTCTTTTCAAAGACAAGAGCCTTTCTGTTGGCAAGCCTTCCAAACAAGCCACATTTATTCAGCCTTTTTCTAATTGTGCTGTCATGAACTTTAACATTAAACTTGCTAACTGGGGCCATTAGAATCTCAGATGTAGCTCTTGGCTTTTTTGCAGTTTCTGAGTATTGCACAGTCTGACCTTGGGGCTTGTTTGCTGGGATGTCCACTCCTGAGAAGACTTGCAGCCGTTTTGATTTTTTTTCCACTTGTGGATGAAAAACTTTTCTTGCTGGAGAATTTTGGACTTCAAATTGTTTGGAAATGGCCTTATTACTGGCAGGAAATGCTTCTATGAGCCAATTGCTGATGCCTGCCCTTATTGTGTTGTGCTAACAAACACCTGAATGCTCCAGAACTGATGATACCTTAACCAAGGTCATATGATTAGCAGCACACCCTTGATTTATTTTTTCATGCATTGATTCTGTATAATGACACAGTGTAATATGTTACTTCTGTTGTTCATTTGAGGTTGTGTTTACCTAAATTTTAGACATGTTAACAACCAGATGATTTCTTAAGAGGTCCTGAGACAAATTCAGACAATTATAGAGACACATTGATTTTCTTTAACTTGAGAGTCAAAGAAGACATGGCGCGGTTACGCTTAAATGCTGAAGGAAAAATGAAATCCTGAAGTTTCTGCGAGCGGAGATTGACAGAGCAGACAGAGAGACATGATGATTGGCTGCTGCCTCAGGTGATTCAACCGGCCTGCAGGTATGGCATGGAAAGAACGAGATAACATCCAGCAGGCTCTCTGATTTCCTCTCATGCCTACTGGTACCCGCATCCTCCGCCTGACGGGATCAAGCATGCCCAGACCACAACTATGTCCTCTCCCATTTACCTGTTAGACCCCCAACCGCAACCCCCAACCTGCGACCCTCCAGCTACTACAGCAAGACCTCGTTCACCTTTTATACCTCGGTTTTAATCACCAAATGGATTGCTTCCTCCCACTTTGAAATATGACTGTGTTATGTGTTTTAATCTCCTTTGGTGGAGGGAGCGGCCCCTTATCAGGACAGAACAGTTTCTCCTGAAAAAACACTCCCTTCTCTTTGTGATTTCTTTTTCTTTTTTGTATGTATTGCATTCACTGCTAAGCTACATTTAATTGTATCATACATTTTGTTATATTGTTTGTATTTTTAAAAACCTTTATACTTTTTGATGGTCCTGAATGAACATGCAAGCAGTCTTTCAATTTCTGTGGTGAAATCCTGTCATTCCCCTTAAGTTTATTTGCAATAACTCATTAATCTATATTTATTTGTCCAGTCCTTAAGCTAAAAACATTCCCATCAGCTTTTGCTACACATAGTTTTTAGTGGTAACTGGGACATGTTAGCATGTTAACACATTACTTTGGTCACAGGGACACCAAAGTATATTTTGAAAGTCAAGAGGACTTAAACTTCCTCATAACACAACCATCCTTCTGCTATATTCCCAGCCTAGCTGCATGCAGACTGTTTCCCATGTAGTTACAAGAGCCGTAAATCTTTTATCAAGCATGATGTCCTTCACTGGAGTGAGAAAGACAAGGTCTGTGGATCCATGTTTCTGTTGAAGATAACAAAGTTTGTTTATTCTGTAAAATGAAAAAAGTTCTTTGTGTTCACAAGAGACTTTAAAAAAATCACTCACTTTCCTGTCAGATCATCAGAGCGACAGAAGCACACAGGAATCTTCTTTACCCTGCACATACTGAGCTAAATCTCACTCTTTTTTTTGATCTATGTTTCTCTCACATACACAGGAGAACTGATACCATCTAACAACACATACAATACGCAGGTACTGGCCAGATAGTGTCCAGTACCTGCTTGAACACAGCTGCTGCTACAAAAGCAGGGAGGAAACCATGGCTGGTGTTATTAGAAAAACAATGACGCCAAATGCAGAGAAAAGCAAGGTGGAAAAATACAGGAAGGCCTGATACAGGAGAAAAGACTGGCAGGGACAAAGTGATGGCTGCAGAGTGATGGAGCGAGAGACACGTAGCTACTGGCTGGAAACACGCAAGAAGTCAAGTTAATATATAAACTGTACATGCACTCACCGCACATTTCATAACGTTTTTGCAGGTTTTGATGAGCAAGTGGCTTTTTAAAAAACGCTGTTGAGGATTTTGTGCATCGAAATTCATGACTCACTCTATCCTTTTTCTCTTTCCCTCTCCGTCTCACTAATCTTGCTGCTATATTTAGTCTTGGCATTATGCCCTTCGACAGATAGGTTGGCAGCAGTACGTAGCTCATCTCTTCTCCAGTCTTTCCTCTCCTTTCCTTCCCTCTTCCTCAAAGCAGATCCTGTGAGATCCGTCTGCAGTTCACAAAGAGATGCGAAAGTTTAACACACGCACTGCATCAATCAACAAAACTAAGTCTCTTAGACGTGACTATAAATGTACTGAATGAGATACGGACGAGCTATATTAACATTATCCCCAGCCTCAGGTCTGAAGTCTGCTCTGTATGATGAAATATTCTAATGAGGCACTGATCATAACATTCCCAGCATATTTCATCATCTTTATCACAAATGCCAGGGGGCGAAAGGCACAGTAACCACCAGCAGGGCTGCAGACAGGTATGTGCACAGAATGCACACACAAAATCTCCCCTCAGAGCCTCTTACACACTTGCAAGCACAAACTCCTGGAGTATCTTTGCTGGGGCGACAACTAAACAGACTCACTGACAAATCAGTAAAACATCATAAAATCAAACTGCTCAAGTAGGTGCAAGTACCTCCTGTGTAATTTTCCACTCAGACAGTGTGGGACTGTGCACACCTTTGTACTTCCCCAGCTTCTGACTCAGCAGCACAGATGAGAGGAGGTGAGAGAACAATATTATGTCTCACAACACCGCGTCACATCACATACGCAGTTTTGTCTTTGCACCCAACTCCCAGGGTGGCACTGTAATGAAAAATGCCTGTTTATCTTTCATTACCGTCAACCGAGGGATTAAAACAAAAGAAAAACATGGGGCGGGTGGGGGTGGATGGGGGGGTTGGAGGAGAGGAGAGGCAGCGGGGGATGAGGTCAAAGCGCGGGGACATCGGTTAGACAAGGAAAGCGGAGGTTTTTATGAAAAATAAGACATTTCCTTTAATCACATCTGTAACATCACGGCTGTATCCTGGTATCATGTTGAATATATTTGATGATGTAGTATACACTTTAATGTGGACATTAAAATCGATTAATTGGCATTTATATGCTAATACATGAAACATAAAACTGCATTGTTTTCTACAAAGACATATTAAAAAGGGCACAAATGGTGTAGCAGCAAAAAAAAGAGTGTAGTTTCATTTTCTATACGTAGGCTACAGTATTACAATGTATTTGCAGAGAAGAGATTCGTTGCAAGGTACAGCAATACAAATGAAGTAACAAATACATTTCTAGAGTATGCGCTACGTCATACACATAGTCATGGCAGGATATTAGAGATTATAAAAGTTATATAGTTAGTAGAGGGTATCTATAGGCCACTAAGACACCGGAGGCTATAGGCTAACAGTATGATGTAGACTGTGCAGATACAAAGCACACTGATGTTTAATGCTCACACAGGACATCTGAACACGATATTAATATTTCCAGGTCTTACAGGTTAAAGAGTTGTAATGCTGAAATAACAGCAGCAAGTACATGCGGAAGTTGTTGTTGCTTTTATTGTTCAGAATTAATATTTTGACAAAGGAAAATTTGGTCACAAGAAATAACATTTGGAGCCCGAGTGGCACCCAAAAAGATATCTCAGCACCACAACTCCCTTGGGTGGAATGATGTTAAATAGTCACACATGTCTGCATGATCGGAGTCCATTTGCTCATCGTTTTCACCACTGGACTAATCTACAGTATATGTAATCTGTACTGAGGTTCCTGGACTCTTAGGTTTCCCAAAACATTTGTCTCCTCAGTCACCAGGCACATTTTGTTCCCTATTATTAATAAATGAAGACCGGAAAAGAAGTATCAGTGCTTGCAAATAAAAAAATGGATGGACAGAAATAGCCACGGATCAGTTTAGAGGAATAGTTTGAAACACTGCTTCTGAACCTTTACTGTATCTCCTGTATTAAGCACTTCTGTAATAAACTGGATATGGACTACGTCTGAGGAATTACATTCACCTCATGATTTATCTTTTGTGGTTACTTGCTAGTATATGCAGTATTAGTTTATTTCAACCACTACTTTTAGCTACTAGCAACATTCACTGGCACTCATCTCACTAGTACTGAATTTGACTCCCTTTTGCCTTCAGAATTGTCTTCATAGCACAGAATCAAAAAATATGCTGGAAACATTTCTCAGAGATTTTGCTTCATATTGACATGATAGAATTGGATGCACATCCCAAAGGTGCTCTATTGGATTGAGATCTGAAGACCGGAAGCCATCTGAGTCCAGTGAACTCATTGCCTGCTTCAGGATACCAGGTTGAGGCGATCTGAACTTTGTGAAATGGCACGTTTTCCTGCTGGAAGCAGGTATTAGTAGATGGGTACACTGTGGTCACAAAGGGATGGACATGGTCAGCAATAATACTCAGGCAGGCTGAATAATAAGGCTTAAATAATACTCAGTTGGGACTAAAGGACCCAGAGTTTGCCAACAAAATAATGGTCACACAATTAAATCACTACCATCAGCCTGAGTCATGATACAAGGTAGGCAGGATCTATGGTTTCATGTTGTTTACACCAAATTCTGACCCTCCCATTAGAACGTGGCAGGAGAAATCAAGACTCATCAGTCCAGGCAACATTTTTCCAGTCTTCTATTGCTTGATTTCACTACACCTGTTCAAAATAAAGCCTTAGCTTCCTGTTTTAGTTGACAGAAATGGCATCCTGTGGTCTTCTGCTACCGAGATGCTCTTCTGCATACCTTTGGTCATAATTAGTGGTTAATTAAGTTGCTGTTACCTTCTGCTAGAACCGGTTTGGTCATTCTCCTCTGACACTGTCATCAACAAGGCATTTTCACCCAGAGAACTGCAGCTCACTGGATATTTTCTTTTTTTCACACCATTATTAAAAAGAAGAATGATTTCCAGTGTTAACTTCAAATGCATGCCTAAAAGCTTCGACCTGCTGCCATGTGATTGGCTGATTAGATATTTGTGTTATGTTAATCTATACCAGTAGCTCACGTTTTAATGGGTAACCATATTTTTATTTAGCTAATGTCCAATTTAATATTTCACATTTCTCCACACTATCACCTTACAATTTTACGTCACTTTTTCCAACCATGTTTTCATGTTTTAACAAGTAACTTGTCTCTTTTAATATGTTATGAATTCTCTTTCTACTGCTCATCCATTACTTTTAGGTTAACTGGTAACTTCAGTCATGGTTCACTTGTGGTTTTATTAACTTAAATTAAAATTACTCTTACATTTGCTCATTTATTTCCAGATTACTTAAGTTTATCAATCCACATACCCCAAGCCCCCGTGGAAGTGTCTTGTTGGGAATGACCTTTTTAAAAAAAAAAAAAAAATTGTGCTTTTTTGTCTACATGGAGATAATGAGATATTTCACCATCTCTATCCAATAGCAAAAACAAAGTAGTTTCGATTAAAGATTAAAAAGTGACATAAACAGATGGTTTGAACAGGTCCAGAAGTAAAAAATAATCTAGTAGTGTGGACCCTTTCAAGCATGTTGTGTAGTAAAACTGTACAAAGACCATAGTGAGGTCGATTTACCTCTGGACACAGGCTATTCCCCTCTGTATTTATTTTGATTGCACAGAGAGCAGGAACAATCGTCTCATCCAACTCGTGTATTTCGCAAAATGTCAAAATATTCCTATAATTTCAGTAGCAGTTTGGGGTAACAAAAGCTTTGGGAAACCATGTCCTGTTTGCACATCATCACACAGTGTCTGGTCTGCACTCAAAGGACCAGTTCAACTCTCCTTTCATAAAAACTCCTATAGGTCCCTCTAAACCAGTGATGACCACTGCAGATCTGCTGCAGCTCCAAGTCTCAGCTGAGACAATGTTTATTGCTAAAACTATCATCATCTTAAGACGAGGTCTGAAATATCACAGAGAAAGTAACAATAATGCTCTAATACTTGGTCATTAATATGTTATGATATAGAGGTAGTGATTTAAGCATTGATTGACAGTAATAAACACTGAACAATGAACTTGAGCGCAAAAAAAAAAAAAGTAATCTCATCCAAGGAGAGTATAAATACAAAGCTTATCACAGCAGCCACTGATGCAAGTTGCTTCAAGGCTGGCACATAAATAATTCACACTCTGGACTGCACGCTGTTTCAGGGTGACTATTCCTCGACTGGCAGGATTGTATGAATCATGGGGCAGAGTAAAGACGTGAATCGAGGAGTTTCAAAGCTACCGTTTCCCATGGCGCTGAGAGCTCACTAGCTCTCAGTAGAATTTAACACAGCACACAGGCTGTGAATGGGTGTCAAACAGGGTTTTAAACTCAATGACCTGCCACTTTAGGCCATCCGAGCTCAGGGCTTTAGCTCTTCACAATGACTGACAAGCTGCTCAAGACCTCGTCCTTTCTGAAGCAGGCATGGTTCAAATCCCTGTTCCCACCCAGCAGCAATGAACCAACATGGAGTTAGACCGAGAGATTCAGTCAGAATATAAACAAGTTATGTTCCAGCTGAATAACACTCTTTCCATCCTGGCTCTGACACGCAACAACAACAGCCGTGTTTTTCTTTCACTGCACTGGGGACGGATATTTGCTTGGTTTCTCTGTGTTGCCGACAACATTGCCCCACTGACTGTTTGAATGACACATTATGATGTATCGTCTCTGCACCCATCTCTTCCGTGTGAGTTTTGTGTGTGAGAGACTCACACATTTGTGGCCCGTGTGAGTTGTCTCTGTTTCAATTCAATACATTTGGGTATTAGCTGACCACCCAGTGTGACAGACGCAGATTAAAGATGAACACGGAAAAAAAAACCCAACAAAAAAACAAAAAACAAAGAAAACTTCTGCAATATAGAATATCTTTCAAATCAACTCAACAGAATTATAATAACATATAAAACAGAGGCAAGTAATACAATACTCAGTGAAGATTTTGCAGTAAATTGCAAATAAACAAGTCACATATATTTGCACACTTGGTGTTGCACAAACAAAAGCTTATGGCTACCTGCATTCAATTCACATTGCGTGTGTGTGCTGAAGCTGTGTCTGTATGTGAGTGTGTGTGTGTGTGTGTCATCTGTGTTCCTGGTATTATAAGTGTGAATCTGTGTGTGTGTGCGAAGCAGTGGACAGCCGCCAGGCCTCATTATTGTCATTCTCCTCACTGCCTCAAAGAGAGGCAAAGCGAGGCGATGTGGCTCCTTTCAATCGAGGAACCGAGGAAAGACGGAGACAAAAGGCCGAAATTAAACAAATGCTGGAAAGCGGCTTGGAGAGCCAGCTTTGAATAAAAGGGAGAGCGGCTGCACGGTTAACCCATCTGGGTCTTTCACTGGGGAGACCACACAGATATACTTCATCCCAGCATTCAGCTAAACCATAGGTCCACGCACACTGGGGTGCCAGTTCATGTGCATGTCCTATGTCACTCTTGTATGTCTGTTGTATGTGTGTATGTGTCCATCAGTAATCTGTTGCTGTTGTTTCCTTAATCCTCTGCAAAATACTGGCCTCGACTTAACCCTGGAATCCGTCATGTGCAGCTTCCTTGCGAGGACACCTGTGTAAGACTCCTCTGCATCCGCGTTGTTCTCATGGAGTATAATAGTTCTCGTTTCCACTATTCTCTTGTGTTTACAAGTTTAATCGCAGGTGAAAGGAACTTCCCGGAGTCCAGCCTCCGAAATAACAGCGCAGCGTGTTCCCCTGCAGGCTTGTGTACGGCGAGAAAGATTTTCTGTCTATTCCCATGCCCCTCAAAGTTGCCACTTTCATCCTCCACTGATTGGATGTGTTTTGCGACGCTACGTGTCAGCACACGCCATGTACATGCAGACTGATAGAATCTTTCTCACAGAAGCACGGAGGCGGAAAGATGTTTGCACACAGCAGATGTATGCAGTGATGATGAACTTGTTGCTTTACTGGAGCTCTGCTACAGGTTCTTCTGTGTGCTTCCCCTCAGTTTGAGACGCCGCCTTTCCAAGTGTCTGTATGGTCTATGGCACTGATGCTGAGGGTGGGCGATGAATCGACAGGGATTTGGTGGAGAGATGGAGGCGAAAAGAATGTGGGCGGACACATCAAGTCCTCATGGCTTCACACCTAGAGCAGTAAACAATTAAAAGAGGAAGGTTTCAGTGCAAAAACGTCCCTGACAGGATTCAGTCTGACATTTGAGTGTGGTTATAAAGGCAGCATGTACATTTTTTAAAATATTGTGTTTGTTTAAAACAACTTCTCTGTCAAATATACCCACATAAGGAGCTATCTGGGATTAAGAGTCTTTTTCAAAGTCATTTAAACATCTGTATGCACTCAAATTTCAGCTGCTCTGAGATAAGCTTTGATACGGCAATGAATGCTATTTTATAGGGATTGGAGCCTTTTCCACAAACTATATATTTCTCCATAACTATTCAGTATGACCTGAAATTCTAAATTTCTAAAGGGCTGCTTCTTTGGATGCACATCCCATGTATCTTCTGTGTATTATCCACATATTGTGTCTAAATTGCAATCATGCATGAAAAGGAAAACGTTTCTTGTTAGGTGTTTTGTAAATAAAAAGGGACCGACTTGCAGCGACGAGGGTTGAGCTTTCGGCCTTTTTGGCTGCAGGTTTCAGCTGTGACGGTGCAGTGGCACTGGCATGTCGTCGAATCCAAGGCCCACTTCCTCCTTCGGCATGGGCGACAACGCGTCGTAGGAGAGGGGGAAGGAGAAGGAGAGGGGGATGGGAAGGAAATGGTGGAGGGAGAGATATTGGTGGGAGGCAGTGATGGTGGTGGAGGAAAAGATGTGGCAGAAGGAGCTGGAGGAGCATGGGTTCTGCATGGAAGAGGGATTTAGGAAAGCATGGTTAGATCTTGAAATGATTAATTCACTGTTTAAGGAAAGCCAGCTAACACGTGGCAGACTAAAATGTCTTCCATGTTTGCTCATTACCACTAAACACCAAGGGAATCTTTTTAGTTTTGTTCAGTTTTCACCATTAAAAGCTTGGACTGATTAAAAATGTTTTTAATGGCAGTTTTGGATGAGACATTAGAGACATTAGAGGCATTTAGTCATGTTTAAAAATCACGAGAAGTCCCCCTCGTTGTGCAAACATCAAGCGATCATCAAACAACATCCTCTGGAGGCCATAAATGTCTGCACAAAATTTCACGACAGAGATATTTCAGTCCAGACCAAAGCTGTCCAGACTGAAATATCTCAGGCTTGTTTGAACATGCACATTGCCAGTCTGAAACTAACCCACACAATGCAGTGTGTGGGAGGTGTGTGACTAATGTGGGATAACGTTCGTAAGCTGCCAACAAACTTTCTCCCCTTTCTGTTCATCTGCCCGTTACCATGGCTTTGTTCGTATAGGAGGCCTTCAGTTAACTCCTCTAGACGCCCTGAACTTTCCCTCTCTGAAATCTCATTTTGAGAAAGTTGCCTGCATCACTCGGTCCATTAACAGCCGCTGCTTCTGCCTCTGTTTTCCCGGGAGGCTGGCGGCCTTAATGAAGTTACTTAATGAGGCAGAGAGGGCTCATCTTTGTTCCTGTCCCGGTGACCACGCCTGTCGCTGGCAGGGACAGAGGAGGTAGTATTTGCAAGCAAATTACACAGATTTCACCCCTGCCAAAGTTTGAACAAAGCCTGTTTTGAATGATGGATGGGTGCAGAGAGACATCACACCAAAGCTGAGCCACCTCTGGCCCCGAGAGGCCGGAAATGACTGACAGCAAAGTGAAGGGTAAAGAGATGAAAAAGAGTCGAGAGGAAAACATTAACAACTCTTTTATCCTTCATTCATGGAAGCCAACCTACTTGTGGTTCTTTCTTTCTTTCTTTCTTAATAAATACTGGCTAAATACTGTTTTGATTATGGCAGTTGTGGTGTTCACCAGTGTGTGTGAGAGACCTTGACTGCGCAGCTGTAACACAAATTGTCCTTCAGGAATAATGTAGACCAGATAACCCAGTTTTCCTCTAATCCAAACAGTCACAGTGAGACTGAGAGTATCCGGAATACACACCGACAGACACAAGTAACGCCTGCTTTAACCTTGCATTTTGAACAAAAACAAGTTAACGACAGTAAATTTGAGTTTAAAAAAAAGCGAGCACTGAATAGTAAACATACGCAGCTCTGCTGGCTCCAGTTGTCTTCTGTTTGGACTTCCTCCCTCTCTCTTTTTTCTTGCCTTTTCTTGCTGGCTTCAGAAA